GGACAGGAGTTAAGATTTAAGACTCCCTTGAAGGATCAACCTACATCGTTTATCGTTCATTGCATTTTTTTAATCCATAAGGCAAAGAAAATAGAGGTAGCAGGATGATCGTTTTCATTTCAGAAAAGTAAATTTTTGTATCGATTGATGGATCTGGGCCTTCTGGCCTTAAGATACGTCTCCCTTTCCCAACTGTAGATCTGTGAGGCTGGGTTTTCTTCATGTACTTCAACCAAAATAACACATCCCAGCAACCGAATGTAGGAGGAGATAAGAGAATCCAGCTAGAGATCTGAAAACAGTGCCACTGTTGTCACAGGTATTTTTTTTGGGCAAATAGAATTATTTATGTTAACATGTAATGGGGCTATTGTTATTCTTAAATTAATTGGTAAGTACATCTTTTTAAAATAGCAGTTTTAATTTCTCATGTGGTAGATATCGCCAGGTAAAGCCAACATGAACAAAAGTTCATTGAGTCCTCAGTAATTTGAGAACTGCTGCTCTGTACCATGGCATATTGCAGGATCAGGCCATTAGAGGGAGGTCTGAGCAGAACCAGGGAGAGCTTCATCGAGGAAGAAAAGGACGTTTGAGTTGGGTTTTAGAAGTTGGGGCTGGTACAATGGAAAGAACACTAGAGGGAGAGGTCCCAGGTTGGGCAAGTGACTTCTCTGTGGGCCTCAAGTTTCTCATCTATAAAGTGGGAGGGCGGGGCCTAAGTGGCACCATAGAGCACTGGCCCTGGAGTCAGGAAGACCTGAGTTCAAATCTGGCCTCATACTTCCTAGCTGTGTGACGCTAGGCAAATCACTTAACCCTGACTGCATCAAAAAAAAAGTTAGGGGGGTGGACTTGATGTCTTTTGGGGGTCCCTTCCTGCTCGAGAGCTATGCTCCTATGATATGTATTCAGGGTGGTAGAAACTCAGCAGCCAGAGATGGGGAGGGCCTGAGCCAGGGGTGGAGAACCTTCAGCCTCAACGCCATGTGTGGCCCTCTAGGTCCTTGACTGAAAGGATTCAGTCAAAGGGCCGCCCTTGAAGATCTAAAGGGCCACATGTGGCCTCGGTTCCCCACCCCTGGCCTGAGCAAAGATACGGCAACTGGAGAGCTCATTTTGGGGGAGGGGGAGTATACTTAAAAGTAGCTGGGGCATAGCACTGTTTTGTTCTCATTGGGTATCTGTTTATTAGATCTTTTGAAGATCATTGTATAACCCCAAAATATCTGCAAGGCTGTTTGCTTTAAACATTAATTGAATAAAGGTAAAATATCTGTGGAGGGAGAATAATAGAAATACATTTGTCAAGGTCGAGGAAAGTATGCAAACAGTCCACAGTACAGTACAGGAGGTGGTTTCTCAGTGCAGTGCCTAGAATCTCTTCTTTTAGAGAGGAAGGAAGCTCTTTGAGGTCAGCCTCTAGTGGCTTGGCTTTGGGGTTTTGTCCAGGGTCCTTGCCTCCTCTTCAGGTGCCTCGCACACAAGTGCTTAAAAGACCTTAGTCTGAATCCATTTAATTTTAGTTCATGAAACTGGAAGCCCCCTATGGCCAGAGGGTTGGGCCTCAGAGGGTTGGGCCTCGGTCTAATTCTTTGTGTTTGTATTCAGCCTGAGGTGTACTGGCTCCAACCCTGGGCTAGTCCCTTAACTTCTCAGCTGCAGAATACCGTCCTGTAGGACTCTTCCATGACCCCATTTGGGGTTTTTCTGGTGGAGACGCTGGAGTGGTTTATCATTTCCTTCTCCAGCTCATTTTACAGAAGAGGAAACTGAGGCAAATGGGGTGAAGTGACTTGCCAGGGTCACACAGGTCTGAGGTCAGATATGAACTCACTCTGATCTTCCTGACTTCAGTCCAGTGCACTGCCCTAACTTCTCAACTACAGTTTCCTTTTCTATAAAATGGGATAATATTAGCACCTAATTCACAGGGTTCTGATAACATGTAACCTGAACCTCCAAAGTCCTGGATAAGCACTGGCCATTATTACTGTATTTTCCCTAGTGCCTGGTAGAGGACCTTTTCCGTGTCAGGCATTCATTCAGCAAATGTTTGTTGAATAGAGAGATTTTGGCTGAACGATGAGGCTCATCCTTTATGTTTCAGTAACACCATCTTCAGCATAGAGATTTGATTTGAGTTGATCAGCACAAAATGCTCAAATGCCTTTGATGGTCCAGCTGCAAATGTTTATGCACGTTCTCCGGAATTCACCAAGCCTTTGTTCACACAAGCTCCCATGTTCTAGAAACGGCAGCCTTGCATCCACTGCTAATGAAAATCTCTAGCCCATAAACAGGCTTAGCTCCCTCAGAACCCTGGAGCCATCCTGGTGACCACAGAGGAAAGGACTCTGGGATCTTCCCAAAGCCAGGAAGGGTCCTAGCAGAATGGGAGTCTCTGTGCCAAGGCTTCCCGGCACAGCATGGAGGCCGGGAGTCTTTGCCTGGAGAATCGGTGCCAAAGGGGAGTAATTAAGTGCTTAACCTTTGGAGAGCCACTTGAGGAAGTAGGGGCCCCTAAGTATGTTAGGCCCTGCCCAGCCAGCCCTCCCCCTCCCCTAAGGTGTCCCCCAGAGGAGGCCCTGGGCTTTGTCTCACACTCTCACTTCTGGGCTGTTTGCTTTTCCCCAGTGGATTATAGAGGGAGATTGAGAGCTGGAATTCTGTTGTTAAGTCATTTCTGACTCTTGATGAGCCCATTTGGGGTTTTTTGGGCAAAGATACTGGAGTGGTTTGCCTTTTCCTTCTCCAGCTGAGGAAATTGAGGCAAACGAGGTTAAGTGACTTGCCCAGTCAGTGTCTGAGGCCAGATTTGAACTCAGGGAGTGAGTCTTCCTGACGCCAGGCCCGGTGCTCTGCCACCCATCTGGAAGGGACCTTAGAAATCCTGTCATCAGACCCCCCTCATTTTATCAGCAAGGAAACTTGAGACCCTGACAGGGCAGCCCAGAGTCATGCAGGAATAAAGGGAAGAACTGGGATTTGAATCCAGGGCCTCTGGTCTCAGATGCAGACTGCCTTTTCTTTTGTAACTTCTGTGCTCTTTCTTTATTTTTCAACTAGGAAAGTAGTCAACCTGATGGATAAAGGGCTGGAGTTGGAGTCTGAAAGACCTGACTCAGATAGATACTAGCCGTGTGACCCTGGGAAAGTCACTTAACCCCTCTCAGCCTAGTTTCTTTTATCTGTGAAATGGGTGCAATGATAAACCCAAAGTACTCTACGACCCTTAAGTTACTATTTAATCATGATTTGCTGTAATTGTTTTTGTCATACACCTGCGTCCCATCTCCTTTGAATTCAAAGCCTAGCAAAACTAAACGGTCACATTTATATTATGCTTTAAGGATTATTGCACCAAAGTACTTTACACACTAGCTCATATGGGCCTGACAGTAATCTTAGGAGGTAAGGACAACTCATGGCCACCCAGGATCCCCCACCTAGAGTGTATCTAGAATAGGATGGGAACCTAGGCCTCTCCTGATGCTGAATCCAGTGCTCCTTCCTCCCCTTCGTGCTTTCTTAGGAAAGCTCTTTATATTATATTATATCATACCATATTATCTGTTTAGCATTTTGTAAACTCAAAAAAAAAATGCTTTATTTCCCATATGTCCAAGCTACTTTTGCCACTGTTTGTACTTCCCAGCATTCAGCACAGTACCTGTTGACTGACTGTTTTATAAAATGTAAGGCTACTGGATTCAGGGAGTACTACTGTGGTAAAGTGCCTGGAAACAATCCTAAGATTTATGGGAAGGGATGGAGGGAAGGAAGGGGAGAGGGCAGGCATGCACAAGCACTTACTCTATGCCAGTCACTATGCTAAACACTGGGAATACAGATATAAAACTGAGATGGCCCCTGCCCTCCAGGAGCTTCTGTTCTAAGAGGAGATGTCCCAGAAGGGAGCAGTGACCAGGAAAGGGGGTCCCAGGGAAAGTGGCTGGATCCCTGGGGCAGACTCCACAGCAGTGGGAGTGTGGATGTGAGGACAGAGCCCGAGGTAGAAGGGGCCCAGGGGTAGGCCCGGGTGGGGACAAAATCACAGGCCCGGCAGCCCGATGGCCTGGGAAGCAAGGCCTGGGCCAAGGCTGGCTAAGTCAGTGAGTTAGTTGCCTGGTGAGCTCCACTGTGCAGCCAAGTTGGTCTCTTCAGACCACTCTCATTTTCTTCTTTGAATTGTTTCTCTTTCCCTCTTTAGAATTTCCTTCAGGAAGCTGCCCATCCTTTCTGTCCTCCTTCCACTGCAGAATTCTAGTCCATTTAGAGGCCACAAGCTGGAGTAGTGGGGAGAGCCAACCTCAGACACTTCCTAGCTGTGTGACCCTCGGGTGGAGTCACTTAAGGCAAGGCTGCCTCGGTTTCCTTAGCTAGTAATGGTAACAGTAATAATAACTTAGTTACTATTATATAATATGTATAATATTAATAGGATAGACCAATAGTAACTTAGTTTCCTTAGCTAGTAATAGTAACAGTAATAGAGACAGTAACAGTAACTCCCAGGTTTGTCGTGATGAGCAAATGAGAGGATATGTGAAGAGTGCCTGGCACGTAGTAGGTGCTTCCTAAATGCTTGCCTCCTGCCATGGGGGCTCCTGCGTATTCCTCCTCTGAACCCCTTGCGATCAGCGCTCCCCAAGTCTGAATGCATGTATTACAAGGCTCTAGGGCAGCCAAAGGGGCCGGAATTCCTTATTAATGCAGGCTAAAACCAGTCAGAATCGTTCGCAGTTGCTCCCAAATTACTGACGTAGCAGGCTCCCCTTTCCATGCCACCTGTAGCCAGTGAGGTCCTCTCCTGCGTGCCTGGAGGTCCCCATCCCCCCAAGCTCATGGATCTCGGGCTAGTCAGCGCCTCTGAGGCAGGCTACCGGAGAAAGGCCTGCAAGTCTTGCCGAGCCAATGGGGAGCCCGCAGGGGGTCCTGCTAAACGAGTCTCTAGGGGTACATAGCTGGCGGCTGCTCCCCGTGACCTTCATCCGTAAATGATTCTTTGTGGCTTGGAGGGGACCCTGGCTTCTCGAAGGCTGGGGGAGGCCCTTCCAGCCAGGACAGCAGCCGTGCAAACCTCGTGGACACTCCTCATCCTCTACACCTCTCCCCCACACCATGTCCAAGCTGGTGCCAGGGCCAGTTAACTTTACCTTTGCTACATCTCTCCAGTACACCCCCTCCCTCCCCCATACCTGGAGCTCCCCTCCAGCTGCCTTCCCCCTCTCTCCCCCTCCCCTTCCCCCATACATGGAGCTCCTTTCCCGCTCCCCTCCCTTCCCCCCATCTCCACCTCCCTTCCCCCATCCATATCTCCCAGCTTCCCCCACTCCCCCCACTTCCTTTGAGTCCCAGCCAGGATCCCACCTTCCAGAGGAAGCCTTCCTCAGCCCCTCTTAATTCCTTCTTTTCCTTTCCATCTTTCCTGCCTATGACTTGTTTGTGTGCAGTTGTTTACATATTGTCTCCCCCATTCCGTGGTAAGCTCCCTGAGGGCAGGGACTGTCTTTTGCCTTTCTTTGGCTCCACGGTGCCTGGCACAGAGCTGGAGCTTAAGGAAGGTTTTTGGAAGCAGTAGGTCAGAGGGTCCTCCCCGCAGGGTCAGCCCCCGGGCTATCTTTTGGCCTCAGTCACTGCTGAGGTGATCTACAAAGACACAAAGGGGTTAAGACCTGCCTTGGTGGAGGGATGGCCACATTGATGAAGTTACAGCCCGTCCCCATCAGTAATGGCTCAACTACTGTTTCCTGTAGCCATCCAATCATTCCTCCTGGCTGCACAAGCCGTTTGTCTGCCCTGTGCCCTATCAGGGATAGTTTTTGCAGTGACTTGTCTTTGTTCTGAAATGAATGAAGATGGGGAGCACAGAAGGGTCGTGGGGAGCATGGGGGTGGGGGTGGTGACGGAGCCTCCTGCCTCGAACTCAATGGGAAGCCAGCCACGTCTGGAAATCACCTTCATGACCGAAAGGCTGCACTTTGTGAACCCATTTGGCCCATCCAAAGCAGAAGAGTGGATTTCCTTTTTGAAATACGATCTCAGCTCAAAAAAATCTACTTTATTTGGCTAGAAATGAGCGCTCCCAGACGCTCCATGCTTACTGAGTTATTTCTGCCAGAAATGTGACAGGAGGACTCCTGCTGGGTTCATAGCACTAGATCCTAAAAGGGCCCCCTCGAGGTCATTTTACAGATGAGGAAACTGAGGCTGGGGAAGTGAAGTAATTTGCCCACATCCCCACAGGTTGGAATTCTTAGGGCGGATTTGAACCTTGTCCTCTGCCTCAGACTTCAGTCCCGTCCTGGTCTGTCTCCTTCCCCCGCCCGTAAAGGTTTTGCTCTTTTGGTGGGTGGGGTGGCCTCACTGCTCTGGTGTGAGAGGGTTTGGTTTAGGCTGATTCCTAACCCACATTGATTTGTAGATGCTGGGTGGGGCCTAGTCTGGGCCTGGCTCGGTGGGGAGCCCAGGACTGATAAGACTCCTCGTTGCCTAGCAACCACAGGCCTGCCATTGCCGGGAAGCCACCCTCCACAAGCAGCTGGTCCAGGCTTCTGAATGTCTTCTGTTTCTGCCCTAGATCAGGTAAGATGGCTCCCCAGTCTCGGAACAGTTCCATCCAAAGCCAGACAAGTGTCTAGAGCAGTGGGATTCTTCTCCTATTTGACCAGAGAACTCTGGGAAGATGCTGCGAAGGGGCAGGGCCCAAGACACTGTGGTGTTGTTTTTTTTAGATATTTTGCATTCCCCAGCATGGCAGTCCCTTATGTCATCCTACTCACTAGGCTTTGGGCTGAAGAAGGTGCAGTCGGTGTCTCCTAGCCACACATCCCCAGGTGGCCTCAGTGGAGACCAAGCCTTCACCTCCCATCAGCCTGTGTTTAAGGATAGGACACGTGTGTGATTTATGGGAGGCTTTTCACTGGAGGAGCGGAGAGACCTCCAGATAGTGAGGCATTCTGGAGCTAGGTAAATGGAGTCACCAGGGCCCAGCAGGGCACACCTCAGAGGCCACAGAGCTTGGCTTCCATTCCTTTCCATCCACTAGGGCCACACACCCCCTCCCCCTTTCCTCTTCTAAAGTGGCCAAACCCTCTTCCCCAGGAGGCTCTCCCAGCTAGGACCTCTTGGAGATCCCTACCACACCCAGACAGGGGATGAAGCTTCCTGCCAAGGAGTACGTTCACAGGAACAGGAAGCAGCCTGTCCTAACAGAGTTGTAAAACCAGCTCTGAAGCCTTCGGGCTGGTCTCCCTGTGGCCCCCCCAGCGAGGCCTTGCTTCAGAGAATTGCCGGCTAGGGCGCTCACTGAAAAAGCTTCCTGGCAGGCAGGCGGCTTCCTCTCGCTTCTGGGAGCGCTGCCCCCTTCCTTCACCCCCCAATCTGAAGTCACTCTTCCAAATCTGCCTTTGGTAAGTTGGCATTGTTTTATTTATTTATTTATTTATTCATTTTTTTGGTGGTTTGGTATTTTTTTTTTTAATCGCTAAGGAGGTTGGCGGCAGCAACAGCAGCCCACATAATTACAGAGCGCCTTTCCACCCGTTTCTGAGTTTCAAAGACTCCATCAGAGGCAACCTCACCCTGGGACTGAATGTCCACAGCCCACCTCAGAGAGTGAAGGTCTGACTTGATGCCCTCGATTTGGGCTGGGCTCCCTGATTACCCTTTATCCAGCGGCTTTTTCCCCCTGCCCCCTCGAAGCTCAAGCCTTCCCATCATGTGGCCAGTGAATGGTATGTGTTTGGTGTCCCAACTCCCCCTCACCTGCCCCCTCACCCCCCTCCCCCGCCGGTGACTCAGCGCCAAGGGGGCCCTGGTTCCTTATCTGACCATTAGTCTTTCTCTCAGTAAGCAGCTAGAGTTCTCTTTGTTATCCCCCAATGAGGTGGTAGAATTGTTTTCTTTTTCTTTTTTTTAAACTTAATTTTTGTAGTTGGAGTAGCTCCCCTAAACATTTTTCTTTTCTGATAAACAGGGCAGTGTTACTCTTAGCAATATGCTAGGAGCCCTTGAGAGATCAGTGGCGGGGATTCCAGTCTCTACAGTCCAACTTTTGAAGATAGGTCTCCTTAATGTAGGCACATATCTTATGTATTGGCCACATCTGATTTAAGATGGAGACTTTTTAATAAAACGAGGATGGTGCCCAGTTGGATTTCTAGCTTCAACCACAACCACTTACTTTACTGGGTGCTCTAAGGCAAGTCACTATGCCTCAATTTTCCCCTCTGTAAATGAGCAGCTTGGTCTAGGTGGCTTCTGAGGGCCCTTCCAGCTCTAATGAGATATTTCTGAAAAACAGAAATAAATCTCTGGCAGATGGAAAGCAGGATATAAACGTGTGTCCCTAAGCCTGGATCAGAGGTGGGGAACCTGCAGGCAAAAGGCCGCACTTAAGGACCTAGAAGGCCACATGTGGCCTCAAGGCCGAAGGTTCCCCACTCCTGCCCTGGCCTCCCACTCTGTGAGCCCGCAGGAATTGAGGACAACCTCGAACAGGCATCTTGGGGCCTCAGAAGCCACATCTCATTTCCTGAGGCTTCACGCCTGATCCATTCGACTTTGCATCTCCTCCTCCTTCTGCTCAATCTGAGGCAGATGCCTCGTACCTGGAGGCGCCTCATGAGAGGAAAGGGGAAGGTCAGGGAGCTGAATCGGTCACTTTCCCAAATATTCCAGTTCTCTGTGATCCGAGGGCCTCGAGGAGACCCGACCTCTGACCGGCTTTGCCCTAGTGGGCCTTCGAGGAACCAGCTTTTCCTCTGACTAGCTAAATGGGGTATAATCAGTTAATATCTAACTTTCATTGTGTCTGATTGTCACCCTTGGCATCTTGGAGAAAAATGCCAGGGGTTTTTTCCTCTGAGCACTCATTTGGAGGTGGCCTGAAATGTGACTGCAATTTCAAGAATTTCTTTTAAAAGCCACCGTTTGGTAAGTGAATAGGGCACTGGTCCAGACTCACCGGCACATTCTGGCCTTGGGGAGGCAGTGGCCAGTTGTATGGGGTTTGGCTGAGGAGGCAACAGGTTTTCCTGGTAAATCTTGTTACCAGTCGGGCTGATGCTAACACCAGCCTCCTGAGGGCAGCGTGAGGATTGAATGAGGTCAAAGTTATCAGGCCCTTTGGAAGCCTTGGGGCACTAGAGAAGTTTGAACCATTGTTAGGATTTTCTGGTGCCCCATCCTACTTGAGAGAAGAGGCCTGTGGCCTAGTGTGGCCCTCTAGGAACTACATTGGACACACTCAGGCCCATAGCTGCCACATGTGCGCATGCAGCTTCCTTATGGAAATGGTTAGCCTTGGGATTCTTTCCTTTCTCATTTTCTTTGAGATTTCAGCACTAACTGAAATCCTTCATGGGTCACTTAGTGCCTGGGGCAGCCTGACTTCAGACTTTCTGGAAGTGCCATTCTTTCTCTTCCCCTTTGTCCTCCTTTGGGGTGTATTTGCCTCAACTGGGATGTCAGCTCTTTGGGAATGAATCCCTCTGCCTGGGGAGGCTTCTAAAGATGGGTTTGGGGAAAGAGGATGTCCCAGAGTCCTTGTTAGGCATCAGGCGATCCCCCCACACCCGGCAACCCAGAGAAGGAGGAGAAACAGAGTTACTGTTCTGACTCCCGGTGATTTGACTGAGAACCCTCATTACACCTTTAGGAAAACTTCTGTCTTGGATGCTTCTCTCTCACCCAGAGGGGCTGGAGTGAGCAATGGAAGGTGTCAGCTGATGAGGCTCTCTGTCCTTTTTAGGTCCCACAGCCACAGTGTTGCATGGATTTGATGGATGTCAATGTTAGCTGCCCGGGCACAGACCAGTGTGCTTCAGGTAAAGCAAAGAGCTCAGGCCACCAGGGCCCCCACAAGAAGACCCAAGGTTCAGGGCGAGCATGGCCTTCTCCTTTCCAAGGTAGTAGCTAAGTGGCACTGGCCCCTTTGGCAAGTGGGGGCAGTAAGAGTCCATGCTGTGCACTTCGATCCCCCAATATCCAAATCCAGGGCCAGTTGGGAAACACCAAGCCCTGACCCCTCCAGGCTGCTCACAGACCCGGCACATGGTCTGATGGACTTCCAAGGGCCTTCATCCATCCCCCTATCCCAGGGAGCACCCCTCAAGGGTCCTGGAGCCATCCGTCCGCTATAGAATTGCTGTGTAGGCCCCAATTCATGTGAAGAAGTGTGAGGTGAGCTGAACTCTGACAGCAAGTGTAAATTATAGATTTAGGCAAGGCTCATGGCCAAAGAACCCCTCACAGCTCCTGAAACAGAAAGGGGAATTCTGAATTTACTCATGTGACGTGGACATCTTATGACCAAAGCAGTCGTCAGCCCTCACTCCTGGTGTCCTCCAGTCCAGGTGTTCCAATGGATGGGCCCTCAATGCCCAGGCCCCTCTTTTACCAACTCTCCCCAATGTCAGCTGCCAGGGGGAAAAGCTTATAATGCCTTTGGGAGAAGGAGGTGAAAGCCCTTACATAAAGCTGTTGGAGGGCCCATGTTACACGCACGCACGCACGCACCCAAAGCCTCCTCCACTGAGGCAGGCTCGAGGTTCTCGGGCTGGGATGCTGAGTCCTGTGCCCTGGAAGTCCTTGGAAGCCCATCTGTCCTTCGGAGTGGTTAGCGGCAGCTCTGGGCATCAATCACCTGGGACAATGGGGGCTTCCTGCCCTGTAGAAGAGCCATCTGTGATACTCTGGGTGGGGTTTGAAGCACTCAGCTGTAGACATGCCTGGCCCTTAGAATGGTCCAGTTTGTGTTGAGATGAAATGTCAGGTGTGATTTACTGGGGAGAGCACAAAGGGGGCTGCCTTCCTTCCCCACGTGAGCAGGAGGCCCATCGGCTCTGTGCTATTTCTTGGCATTCGTTAGTGGCCAATATTTCTGGAGCCCCATACAGGGCATTCTTTTCGCTCTAAGAGAGCCGGCAGCTAGAGGGCGTGGGCCCAGTCTTCAAAGAGTTTGTGATCTAGAATGGCAGACAAGTTATACCTGAGAAAGGATAATAGCTAACCCACGGTGGCCTATTTTAGGGCCAAATGAATGATTTCCGGGGCTGCAGTCAATTAGAGAAGAGGGTGTGATCATCGGGCCTGGGGCAATAGAGAAAGGCCCCAAGCACCCAGGGGAACCTTGAAGGCAGTACCCAAGGAGAGTAGAGCCCTGATGAGGCCCAGGAAGGGGGCGGGGTACACCCAGGGAGCAGTGGGAAGACCAGTGTGTCTGGGTAGGAGTCTTGTCACTGAAGGGTGGCAGAGGTAAGGAGGGGATGGGCCGTGGAGGGCAGCGGGGAGCCCCAGGTGGGGCTGGGAGCAAATGGGGTGATGGGGGAAGTTCTGGCTCCTGACTGTGGGGAGAGCAAGAGTCGAGGCATGAGGTGGCAAGGCTTGGTTCACAGATGGGGCAGCAGCCCAGGCTGATGGATCGAGTGCTGAGGTTGGAGACCTGGGTTCAAATGGATCCTCTGACATTTATTAGCTCTGTGACCATCTGCTCCTAACCTCTCTGAGCCTCAGTTTCCTCATCTGTAAAATAGATCAAATTGTATCCGTTGGCCCACCCCCCCACCCCCACCTCCTCATAGGGTGTTTGCAAGGCTCAAGTGAGACAATGTGAAAGTCTTTGCAAACTTTTAAGCACTGTCTTAGGTCAGGCAACAGCTATACAAGGAAGGGCGCTGGAGGGCCACGGGCACAAAAGATGTTGTCAAGGGAATGGAGGCTGGAAAAAAAGATGGACGTTCACCTGGGGTAGGACAGCCCAAGGCCGGCAACAGAGACCAGAACTGATAAGGCGGGCGTCCAGTGTGCTGGGGGGACCCCTTGGGCCCAGTGTAGGGAAGGATGTGGAGAAGAGTCACATAGAACAGATGGGCTGCGATCAGCATCGTTGGAGGGAACTTCTGAATCGAGAAGATCCCTGCCTCTTTTTGAGACATTTTGAGAATCTGTCTGTGGAAATTGTCAGGAAGGGAGAGCTTTGGTGGACATTACAGAGGAGGAACCCATGGGCCTTGGGGGCTGTTTCATGGGAGAACATGGAACCCAGGGTGATTTCAGGGTTCTGGGCCTCAGAAGAACGCAGAGAACCTGCATCCTGGCTTGGATCAGGGTACATGAAGTTTGAGATTTGGACTTCAGAGACTTTCTGGTCTCACAAGTTGAAGTTTGGCCAAATTAGCCTGAGAACTGTTAGCCAAATTAGGGGAGAACCAGTCAGGGCCTGATTGGCCCTTTGCCCCCAGGCCTGCCTCTGCCAAGCACGTGCGCGTGCACGCACACACACACACACACACACACACACACACACAGCCCATTCAGGTTTTCCATCTGACCAAACGAGGAGGTCAGTTCCCTCCAACCTTCAGTGGGACATCACAAGATAATTTGGAAGCTAATTAAGTTCAAATGAATGTTCAGATCCACCCATGAAAAGAGCATCCAGAAGGGAATCCCAGCCCCGTCTCACTTACTCATGGGTCCTTCCTCCTTTTGCCCTGCCCAGGCTGCTACCGGCGCTGGAACGAGGATGGGACCAGTAGCTGTGTTCGGTGCAGAAATGAAAGCCTTCCGGTTACCGGGCCTTACGTGGTGGAGTGTAGAAACCGTAAGTCTCTTCCCCTTGGGCTTTGGCCTGGTGGGTGTGTTTGGTTCAGTTATGAGGGCACTGCAGAGGACACTTCCCTCACCGGTGGGCAGAGGCCACAGCCCCAGGAGGGTGAGCTCCAATGATGCTTTTGGGGACCCTCCCCACCACCGTCTCCAGGCTGCAGTTCTCACACTGGCCAGCAGAGGGTGATCATGGACCTCACCTTTCTTACCTTACCAGTAAGTTGGAGTCCATTCAGCTATCTTCCTGTAGAAACAAGTGTCACCCAGTCCCTAGGGGGTGTCTGGTTCCCTTCCAACCGTCTCCCTAAAAGCTCCCTCCCCAATGGTGACGATTCATTCCGCCTAGCCTCGGTCTTCCTCAAAGAAGCTAGCTCATTGTGTTCCCATGAGACCCCAGAATGCTCCTAGCTCCTTGTTCCTCAGTGACAGAAATGAAGCCCAACTTGCCTCCTCACCTCATTATCCCCGTCCTTCCATAGCGGTATGCTGTGAAAGCTACCACGTACCAGGCCGGAGCCGATTTTACAAAATAATGAGGCTAACGAACTTTTTTTTTTTCACCCTTAGTTGGCAACAAAGAAATTAATTTCACATCCTACAGAACTACAGTGACACCCCTTCTCCAGAACCTGGGTAAGTCATTCTGCTCATCTGAGCAGAGAGATGCGTTAGGAAACTGCTGTCCCAAGAGGGCACCCTTCCCTGTCTCAGAGCCTGCCACAGAAGCCGGGCTGTCATGGGGTGAGGTGGCAAAGCCAGAGATCTGCGGTGAACTGTGTCCTTTTTTGACTGCTCAAACTCCTCCCAATGAAGTCTTCAGATAGTAGATTCCACAAACAGAAAAAGAATTCCAAACCCCAGCCAGATCGGGACATTTCCCACCAACAAGAAGACTTAGTTTCTAGGCATTAGTGGGGGTGGGATCTGATTAAAGATATGAGGTTTTGATTTGTGGGTGGAAGGCACAATTGCATGGCAGACCCTCTGGGCTAGGCCCTTCCCTCTACCCTGCCCCCTCCCCACTCGCCTGTGGCCAGCTTCCTTCTGTGAAATTACTAATTAATTGAAGCCCTGCTATCTATAAATTCCCCTGTATCTGTCAAAGCCAATGGAGCCTCCTTCATTCACCCCTTCCAACAACTGCATTGGCAATGTCTCAGGGCCAATGCCAGCCCAGGCACAGAAGGAAGAATCCCTGCAGGCCTCAGATTTGCTCTTCTCTCCAGTTTCCCTAAAAAATAGAAACTTCAGCCTGGGATTTTTTGCAAAGAGCAATGAGGGGAAGGGACTGCCAGCCATAACTGTCCAGCCAGGCCCCCAGGATGAAGGCTGCTCATTAGAGCAATCATGCTTTCTCATTGGGATGGTCACTTCATTGCACGCTTTGTCATTGAAGGCAAGTGAGCTAACAAGGCAGGCTTCCCTGCCCCTGTGACTGCCCCTGCCCACCTCTGCCCCAGGTCTTACTCAAGATATCTTCTGGCGGGGCCCAGCCCTCTAGGGTCCTGCACTGCTGCCGTCACTCAGCGGTCAATCACGGCAACCCCACTAAACTTTTGAGAGGTGTGGACATCAGGCCCAGGAGCCTTCTGGCCATTCCTTTTGGTGAAAACTGCAGGGTGTCCTGACATGTGATGAGACCTAGAGCCCCAGGCTGGTTTTCTGATTTGCATTTCTAGCACAAGCCGTAGCATCCCAGTCTTTCCTCCCTGTAGTGATGGACATTAGGGAAGTTGACAGGCAGGTGACATCCAGCAGGTGTCTTGGGTTGGTTCTGGGAAAGGCCAGGTCTCCTCCGTACCAGTCTCTCGAGGACGGTTGGGGTTGGGCTCATCTTCTCCCTTCCAGAAGTGGGCCGAGACACGCCAACACAAGGGTCCCTGCAGCCAGGTTGCCTCCTGGCAGCATCAAACCAGAGTGACCACCATGAAATCAAGCACCCCAGTGCTGATCCCCAGCAGAGGCACGAAGAGGTTCAGGGTTGGGTTTGGGTTTGAGAAGTATGTGGTTAAAAAAGAAACGCCTGGCTATTTGAATCAGCTCCTACAAATATCCTGCCACCACATGCCACCCACAGCTCTTGCCCAGTAACACAGATAGTCAGAAACAGAAAATGAAATAGAGCCCACACAACGCTGGTTCGAGAGAAGTCGCTTTCCATGTGCGGCAAAAACCCGAGCCAAGGTGCCTTTGCCTTTCTCCTTGGGATTTTGTCATTTCCCCAGCCTCTAAAAATAGCCTGCGCCTTGCTGTGTGATTCCATCCTCGCTTATAAACTCACCTCCGCGGGCAAGCACGTAAAAAAGCCACAGGCCCCATCATTTCCTGATAGTCCCATTAACTTTCTGGAACCCTCCTCTGTCTTACTAGGATTTTTCTATTTGACTAGTCACTAGTTAAAGATTGAACATGACCTCCCTCCTTTTCTCTCTCTCTCTCTCCCTCTCTCCCTCTCTCTCCCACCCCCCCCTTTTCTCTCTCTCTTTCTCTTCCTCTCTCTCTCTCTCTGCCTCTTCCTCCCTTTCCTCTATCTCCTCTCTCTCTTTCCTCCTTGCCCTAGTTCAGGAAGAAAGTTCTTGCCCCACCCCAGCCATAGGAGCCATAGGACTCGTAACTATTTCTCAGCAACGCAGGATGCAGTGATAAGTCTGGCAGGTTAATGAGAGGCGTGGCCCTGATCCCAGCTTTCCTACTTCACCCTTGGCACCGTACCCAGAGTGACCTCCTTGGTGGGGAGGACGGGGGCATCTCCTCCTCCCACAGGGGCCTCCTAAAGGCCTCAGATGGTGGCGTCAGCTTCAGTGTGCATGGGGAAGGCGCTCAACCCATGTGTCATCCGTATCTGGTCTAGCAACTTATGGCCAGGGACTGATAGGCAGCTTGGTGACAGGAAGTTCATCAACTCCAACCTAAGCTTCTCTGCCTCCAAGGGCCTGGTGCCCTGGCCATTGGCAGAGGGCAGAGCAGAGATGGTAGGGAGATGCTCCCCCCATAACCACCCATCTCCTTTGGATTCCAGGGGGCCCCCAGGTGGCCATCTCCCTCTTCTTGGGCACCTTCTTCATTAGCTCCTGCCTCATCCTCTCCGTCGCTTTGTTTTTCTACTTCAAACGTTCCAGTAAGCTCCCCCATTTCTTCTACAGAAGGAACAAAGGTACCTATGTCTTGCCTCTTTGTTTACTGCTTGGCTGAAGCCCTGGGCCTCCTTTTCACTCTAGGAGGTGCCTTCTGGGTCGCCCCAGCATGCCCCAGCTCCCAGGATGGGCCTGCTCTAGGGAAGCCAGTGGGAGGAGGTGGGCCCATGCAAGGAGACGGGACACTGCCCTGGCATGGGCCGGGAGACTTCTTAGCTAATGGGAAGAGCTTGGCCTTTTGTTCTTATGTGCATGCATTCTGGAGAGCCAGACCCAAGCTGATTGAGTGTGGTGGGGTTTGGAGTTAGCTCAGATCTCACCTCTGATGGGAGCTGTGTGACCCTGGGCAAATTGGGTGACCTCTTTGGGCCCCATTCTCATCTGAGAAATGGGAATGATGACATTGACACAACCAGCCTCAGACAATCGGATGGTCTCTAGGGAAAAGTGATTTTTGTCCCCTGCTCCCGGTCTCTGCGGGGCTCCGTGGTAGAGCAGGAAGGCTGCATTGTGTCTCTTGTCTTCAAATGAGGGTCACCCACAGACAGGAGGAAGGGAGAGGAAGGACGGGTGATAGAAATGGACAGGAGAGCTCCCCTGGGTGCCAGGGCTGGGGCACTCAGCAGGCCGCACAGCGCAGCACATTGAAGCTTTCTCTGCCACCCACTCACAAACCTGGGAGATGGTTAAGGATTTAACAGAACTGAAACCATCTGTGTCGGAGAAATGGAAGAGGCAGGTCGAGCACAAGAGAATATCAGGGCAGGAAACTGGGCTCAAGGTTTCCCTGACAAAGAAGGCAAAAACAAGAGTGCTGTTGGGTTACGTCCTTTCCGTTTGCTGACAGCAGAGACCTTCCAGACTCATCTGCAAGGACCCACAGGGATTGAACATGTGCATCTTTGGTCAGGAGGTGAATTTGGTGTTTGAAGACCTGGGTCCGGATCCTAGCTCTGCCACTGACTCTGAGTTACCTTAGGCAAGTCATCCACTGCCTGTGCCTCAGTTTCCTTATCTGGAAAGTGCAGCTCCAAATCTGTGACCCCCTTGCCTTCAGACTGATGACAGAAGAGTGTTGCCTCAATGGCCCACGTTCGGGGACCCTGTGGCATGTGACAGCAGCGCAGACAAAGGCCCTTATGATGTATTCTTGACAGCCACCACCCTGTGCACTGTTACGCACGCCACTCCCCACGCTCTATCACTGCTGGGACAGCCAAGCCAAGAGTGCTTCCTACCTCTGGGGGTTTCCCCTGACTCTTTTCCTTTTGGATGCTCTGAGGCTTTTCAAATTGGCCTCTGGCTTAGAGCGTGGAGACAGGGGCAGGCAGGAGCCTGACCACCAGCATTCAGTCCTTTTTCTTTTGGGTGGGGGGCTGTCTTTAATTTCATCCTGTTGCTATCTCTGAGGCACCACTCTAGCCCTTTCCACCTTACCATGGAATCAGTGGTGCTGATTGGATAGCCTGGTGGATGGTCCTGCCTCAGACAGTAGCCCTGCAGCCATAGACAAGCCACTTGTCTTCCTTTTCCTCTGCTGGAAAATGTGGGGGCTGGGCTTGCTGACCTCCCCCAGTGGATCTGTGACCCTTTTATCCTGTGAGCCCCCTCCATCATTTTACAGAAGGGGAGCAGGCTCCTTGAGCCCTGGCAGTCAGTGGAGCTGGTGCTAAGATCCAGGGCTCCCGTGACAGGCTACTATCTGCTGCCCAGAGCATTTTTGGTCAGCCGGTGCCTTGCCCTTCCCCTCCATGACCCGCAGGCTGTCTCCTGACCCTCTGGGGGCCCAAGAGCCAGGACCGCCCTCGCGTGCCAAAGGAACCTTCCTGGACCTCGAGGCATCAGCCTAGCCTCTGCCTGCTTTCCTCATTGGGCGCGTCCCTTCCCACTGGTGGCATTGTAGCTGTGGCACGGAGCCCTTCGCCTGCCCAGCTTGGCCAAGAATGCCAAGGGCTGCTCCTGGCAGTGCTTGTCTGTGCCTGCTACATCCTATCGGAGGCAGTGGCGGCGGGGGGGCGGGGAACGGACCGGGGGGACGGGACTCAGCTACCCGGCCCAGGACGAGAGGGACGCCAGGCTCAGTTTGGGCTGGGGCCAGCTTTTCTCCCCTCCACGTGGCCGCCGGGAAGAAGGGGAGGGGAAGATGGGAAAGAAAGGCCTTGACTGTGGTTTCTGGCAGGAGGGATGAGCGGTGCCTTTTGTCTGGGTGACCTACCCCTGGAGGGCGGCTGGCCTGAGGCCCTTTCCTGCTACACAAATTCCCATGTCACTCACAAAAGAAAACCTGATTTACCTGAGCCAGCAGAGCGTGGATCACGGCTTGCGTCTTTGTTTGCTTTGGGTTTTTCCTGATGTCAGAATAAGTTGGAAAGAGTATAGACTGCCAGCTTCTCTCTACTTTGAAAGTCAGTAAGCAGGTGGGGAGCAGCCAGCACGGCAGGCCCAGGGGGTGCAGAGAGGTGGCAGGGGTGGAGGTTGGGGTTCCTGACTTGAAATGCTCTTCACACAGATGACTGTAGGGCAGACCGGCTGGGAACAAAGAGTAGGAATCAGGGAAGGCTTCATGGAAGAGGCAGCCCTGGCCTTGGTGTCTCAATGAGATGTCAGGAGGTGGAGCTGGGCAGGGAAGGACCACCAATGCCCCCAGGAGGGAATGAGATACCTTCATTTGGTCATCAAAGCCCTGTCTAAGTGGAGGCACACAGAGCAGCCTCATGGGAAAACTGCAGGGTCCTCTCTGTAGATTGGCCAGGATGTCAAAGGTCGTCTTATCCAGCCCAGAGGGAAGAGACTTGTCCAAGGTCACACAGATAGGAGTGGCAGAGCTGGGATCTGAACCTAGGTCCTTGGGGTGCTCAGATGTTACCCAGTCTGGCTGGGTCCACAATGCTAGCTTTGGGTCTGGCCTCCACCCACGTCCTCTCCCTGTGTAATGGTGTGTTTTCTTTTCTCCTTAGCATCTGTCCTGCAGCCTGGAGAAACTGTAAGTAACACTCCCTCCCCAGAACACCCCCAACAAAGGGGATCCCCTCCCCCTTTTTGCTGGGGTCTCCTACAGAGCAGGGCTGTTGGAAATATGAGGTATTGACTTTCTCCTTTTTCCCTCCCAAAGGCTGCCATGATACCGCCTCCAAATTCTTCTGGTAAGTTTGATTTCCACAATAGAACCGTTTTTATGTCCAGTAATTTGTTCCTGTAAACGTTCCTTCCATTTGCAAATCAAGGCCTCTAGAACACGTTAAGGACCCCAGGTCATATGTCCTTTATAGGTCTGGACCCTGGGGACATGGGCCCCCATCTATGAAGCCACACAAGGACGGGTTCTGGGTCACACTTGAACACAGTGCCAATGAATTTCCCTAAAAAAGGAGCGGGGGTGTTGCTGGCTTTGAACTCAGAGGTTCTGGGTTCCAATCTTGCTGCCCTTCCTTAAGTGTGGGCCCAGTTTTGTTGCCAAATATGAAGGAGGGTTTTTCTGCCTGGAGGTGGGGGGTTGTCAGCCCCCTTTCTGACCCCACGAGGTACAAGAACAAAGCCGTTAGATAAAGGACCGCCATGCTGGGCCCTGCTCCTTTCCAGACCAGCTGAGAGGTGTCCAGATTAGTGGGTCATTCAGTCTCCTTCCCACTCTGTGTGAGGTCCTGGGCCCAGACCTGGGGACAGAGATGGAAGAAGGACAGAGGACAGGAGGTCTGCCCCATGGGGAGCATGCCCTGTCAAGATGGGGAGAGGGGCATGTCCTGGGCCCTGCAGGATGTTAACCAGGTGGAGAGGCAGGTCATGCTGGGCCTGGGGAAGGCACCCATGGAGAAACGACATGCCATAGATGGGGAACAACCTGGCATCCGGTTGGACTGGAAAATAAAGCCAGTCACCATTTGGTGTCTCCTCTCAGGGTCTTTTAAAACCCGGAGGAGCTTTGAGCTTTTGTTATAGGAGAAGCCTCTTGAGATGACGTTAGCCTATGTTTGTAGACTTGAGTTTTACAGCACTCCTCTCTACACGCTCGAGCACGCCCGCACTAGCCCGTGCACACACACACACGCACACACACACACGCTCCGGGCTAACTGCCCCCCTCCCTTCCCACCTCCACACCTGGAGTCTCGGCTGGCTTCTTTCAAGCCTCGGCTCACATGAGCCTCCCCCAAGTTCCTGCTTCATGCCCACTTGCCCCCAAAAGTGCATGGACTTTAGATTGACATGTGGCCCCCTTCAGTCAAATGTAACTCCTTGAGAGGAGGGGCCCACAGTAAGTCCTCACAAACCGCTCATTCTACAAAGCAGACCTTCAGGGGAATGAGTTGTGTGGTGTTCTTTCGGACCAGGAAGGAGCGCAGCCTTCCCAGGTCTCCCTTTTATTCCAATCTCTCCTTTCTTTCCTTCCTCCCCTTTTCTCTTTCTCCCTCCCTCACTTCTTCTAACCTTCCTTGTCTTGTCCTCCCGCCCTCTCTTCCTTTCTTTCCTTCCCTCTTAACCTCCTTCATCCCTTCATCACCCCCTTCCTCAATCCCTGCCTTCTTTCCCTTCTGTCTTTACTTCCTTCCTGCCCCTCCAAATGTCTATGCAAAGCTGAGGTCCAGAACGTCCCTGGCCATCACCAGGCTTGGGTGCTGCTTGTAGGATCGACCTTAGTATAAACCCAGTTTTATGATATCCGTTTCAGTCCGGAAGCCACGCTACGTCCGACGGGATCGGTCGCTGCCGAGACCCACCACACCCACCATGATCTCCTCCGTCGAGACTCGGGTCAGCAACGTTTAACCATCGAGGGATTTGCCCCAGAACTTTGTCCATGAACAATTTCAGAGACGTCTCTGTGGCCACTGAAGGGCCAGGAAAAACCATCCGCGGCAGCTGAGGCTCCTGTGGAGCCCAACTCCTGTGTCCAATGGGTCTGAGCCAAATCGAGCACAAAAGAGACAGCAGGAGACAGAAGTGGCGACGCGGCGAGAAGGAGCCTTGTGACCTCGTTGGTGCGCCTTTTAGATCTTCCTCTCATCTGGGTTTTTGATCTGTCTCTTAGCAACAGATAATCCTGTTAAAAAGCTACAGACAGCTTAGCTTGCCTTGACAGAAAAGTCATTTTCTCCCATCTTCAGGATGGAGCAGGTGCCGTGAGGGTCCCTCACCTATTCTGGGGAGTGGTCAGTCTGGCTGCAAGAAAAGGGGTTGAATCTTACACCACACCAGTTCCTCATTCCCTCCCTGTCCCTCCTCCGAGTAGACCATGTGTGAAGACCCTCTCCCACCCAAGTCCAGAGTTTACCCATGCGTAAAACCTTTCACTTTTTGGGGGTCTTTGGCATCTTCTCTGTGTAGATGCCCCAACCAACCCATCATTGTTACGTAGGGTAACTGTGCATTTCCTGCTCCCCTCAGCCAGATAAAGTGGGACCCACTGGCCCTTCAGGGAAGGTTTTTCTTTTGGGCCCCCCCAATCCTGCTCTAGGCAGGCTGCTGTCTGGCTTGCTCTTGAGGTGGGCCTTCTATTGTCTGAAGCAAAGCGCAGGCTCACAGAGCACTGACGTGGCTGCCTGGTCCACAGATGGCGTCCTGTTTGCAATGCAGACCTGAAATAACTGCGTTCCGTTTTGCTCCCAGATGAGGCCGCCTAGGTACCACCTCATCTCCATCAGCTGCCAGCCAGGGCCCAGGCTTATTGGTTCTTCAGGAGAGTGAAGAAGCCAGACTCAGTGCCCCTTTTGATTTAATTTTGGCTTAGAATGTGCATTTGACCAGGCAGAATGACCGTTAGCCCAGCCCTCCCCAGTCCAAGATGGGCCTGGCCAGGTAACAGCATCTGGGCCACAGAGAAAGGTCAAGGGAAGAGGGAAAAAGAGGCGATATCCACTAACAGCCTCCTATCAAGCAGTGGCACGTACCTAGACATGATTTAAATCAGCAGCTGTGCCAAGGAGCCCCCTAGGAAAGAACCAACACCCAGGCCTCCCCCTGCCGGGTGGGATGAAGGCTAAGAGGGAGCGGATGGCCAGCCAGAGCTCCTAAGAGTCCTCAGAGGGAAAGGCAGCTTCCTGCTCCAATCTGGAGGAGGGGGGCAGCCAGCTGTTTAGGGACCCCCCGTAGTTCAAAGAATAGACGTGTTGTAGCAACATGGCTCACAGGATGGTTTTTGTAAAAACAGATCTGAGTTTTCATCTTGAGTTCCTTTTGTAAATGGGATCTGTGTTCCCCGTGAGGACAGGGCACACGATCAGTGCTATCAGAATCTTTTGAGCATCTTTGTCCAAGCAGAGGGCAAGGAATAGCTGGGGTTCCCCCGTCCCCACGCTCTTCCCTTGCTCCCATGTTCCCAGCTCAGTCGGGGCCCCAGTTCTCCCTGATGACTCCATGAGCACTTTGTTCCTCTCCCATTTATAATGACTGATAGAGCTGACCACTGAGCTGGGAACCCCTTCCTTTTACAGAGAAGGAATCTGAGGCGCAGGCTAATCAGCAGCCAGGTCAGGCCTTGAACCATGATGTGCGCCCCAACCAAATGCTCTAGCTCTTCCAACAAGGACCAGGCAGAGGTTGCTTCCAGCCCGAAGGAGATTCACAGACCCTTGCATAGGGAGTGAGAGCAGGCCACAAGTGACTTTGAGCCAATGAGCAGAGGAGAATCTCTTCACAGAGCTACGGTTTTGTCCTTTTTGGTCCCATGTTTGTGCAGTGGGGGCCGATGGCTAGATGGAGGGTCCCCACCATCACCAGAAAGCATGAGGACAGGGGCAGCTAGGTGGCACAGTGGATAGAGCACCGGCCCTGGAGTTGGGAGGACCTGAGTTCAAATCCAGCTTCAGACACATAACACTTACTAGCTGTGTGACCCTGGGCAAGTCACTTAACCCCATTGCCTAGCCAAAAAAAGAAAGCATGAGGACATGACTCGTGCATCCTATGTCAATGCTGAGGTTGCCTGGGTTACCGCTGGGTTTATAAATAACTGCCAATACTGCTGGTGTATATGCCAGTGTCTAAAACTCCACCCCAGTGGTGTTCCTCGAGCCCTGCACACCACATTAGGAGGGGAGGCACCAGGGTTGTAAGGTGATGCCCAAGATCTTTGCCCCTCGCTCACCTTCCCAAGCAGATGGCTGATACCTGAGCAGTTCTAATCCCATGGATACCTGTGCCCTTTGGCCATCGGAGGCTTCATCCTAAGCCTCCCCCCTTGTCCCTTTGTGCCATAATGCTCAATGTGATGTTTTGTACCTTTTTCTATTGCCAACTTTAATAAACACTCATTTCCTGAAACACGAACTCGGCGGGATGATGATCCAGGAGCCGAAGATGGATGTATCATTCTTCTCTTCCCTTTTAACTATGGGAAAAGAAAGCCCTCTTGTGAGCTCCCTTCCTCCCGCCCCTGGGGTGTATTGCACATCTCTTCTATTTCTGAGTAGAAGATGAAAGGGTCAGAATCTGAACGGATGCCACCCTGCAGCCCAGCCCCACGCGTCTGCTTCAGGCCCAGAGCTTCACGAGTGCGGAGAGGTCCACGAGGCTGTTAGCAAGTGGGGTGGCTTGTCACGACAGCAACAAGATCTTGCTCTGATTCTCCCCCCCACCCCCAGCAGCTGGGGGCAGGGGAGACAAGGATGGAGGGCTGAATCCCCTCCCAGTAGCTCAGTCAGTGTAGGAGGGGAAGGGAGGTGCATAGGGGACCAAGTCATAAGATTGAAAGCTGGAAAGGGCCTTGGAGACCATCTAGCTTGGAAACAGGTAGGAGGGAAACCTGTTGGTACCTGCAGGTGAGGAAAGTGGGAGAGAGGCAGCTGAAGACGTTGCCAGGGTTCCTTCTTCGCACAAGTTGGGGGATGGGGCAGAGGGAGTACCCGGGAGCTTTTGGGAGGAAAGAAGGGTCCCTAATGAGGACACAGGCTTGTCATCTCCTGCAACAAGGGAACCGATAGAGACACCCCTAATGTCTTCTCTCCCAGCCAAGCCTTAATCTTGAGGACGAGATGGCTTTGGAGAGGGAGCTCAGCCTCAGGATGTAAATGGATGTCAAGTGCTCTTGGGAGGCGATCTGTCAGCATGAACCACTAGAATGTTTTGTCTGACCCAGTGAAAAAGGGATTAGCCTCATTCAGTGAGGCCCCAGCAGACGTGGCCAGCAGGGATGTGTAGGAGATGCAGAGGGCCATATTTAGAGTTGGTGCCACGGAAGGCTTCCTAACAATTTAAGGGATCCAAAGGGAGAATCCACCTTTGTTGTTGTTGTCCTTCGTTTTTGAAGAAGACCAATGACATTACGGGGTGAAGTCTTGCCTGGAGTGAATTGGATTAAAGTGAGGCAGAGCTGCACAAAGTCACCAGCCTCATTCTCTTCCAGAGTCATCGGGGTCCAGTGGAAGGACAAAAGTCAGGATGACTGGTGATGAGATGGTCCGGGGTGCTGTGGGTGACCTTGGCCTTTCTAAATTAAGGTCTTTCCCAAGCCTCAGTCCCCACCCACCCCTGATCTAGAGGTCTTTGAGTTGAGGAGGCCAGGTAGCCGCTGCAGAACCAACTCTGAAGATCTGCATTGACTTGCTGCAATCCTAACAAGGAAAATCAAGACTTCAGGTCTTTCCATCCCTTTGGTAGGAAGATTTGAGACAAAGAGGAGGAGCCCAAACCCTCTCTCTTTATGACATGAAGATCTTTCCCCAGAGAAAGCCTTCCCCAAAAGCAAGTTGAAGAAGGTCAGAAGACAAGAGCACAACTATCCAAAGAACTGGAATGCTCCAGCTACAGGTCACCATAGTAACAGAACTCAAGAAGCAGCTAGGACTTCTGGGAAAGAGGTCTAGTGAGCTGACCTTATGGGCTTAGACATCCATTCCCATGAGGGAAAAGTGGAATGGGCCTCCTTAAGAGGTGATGAGTTCCCCATCATTGGAAAGTCTCCAAGCAGAAGCTGGACAGCCACTCATCAGGCATATAGTGGAGCACAAGGTCTGCTGCCTGGTCAGGCCAGGCTGGAAAGGGGTCCAGCAACAGGTTGTAAAACTGTGATTGGAGGACCAGCCAGGCTAAATATCAAAGAGGTCTAGCCCCATATTGGCCAGAGGGAAATGAGCTTTTCAGCCACTACTACCCTGGAAGGTCCTCCACTAGGTTGTGGAGGGGCAATGATCCGTGAGCCTCAAAGTGGTACAGGATGCTCTGGGCACTTAGCCCTTCCACCCTAGTACCCCTAGAGAATGTGACACTGGACAGTCGTTGACCTGAGAGAAACACAGAAGGAAGCATCCGGATCACTGTAGCTTTTTAGTAAACTAGAGTCCCATCTTCAAGATGCTGGGATCTTTCCATCTGAAAGGAGAGTGAGACTGCCTTGGGCCATATCTCTGGAGTTGGAAGGGGCCTCAGAGACCATCGAATCCAATCCCTTCCCTTTACAGAGGAGGAAACTGAGACTCAGGGAGGGAAGAAACATGATCAAGACCACACAAGTCATAAATGGCAGCAATGACCTTTCAACTCATGCCCTCTGGCCCCGTTTGCAGCATTCTTAACATTGCACTATGGGTGGGATCCCCCTTGTTAGAGGTCTAGAAACAGCACTGAGATGACCCCTTGTTTGATATTCATTAGAGGGGATTATGCAGCTTTAGGTCAGCCAAGGTGGCGACTTAAGCGCCCTTCTAACTGGGAAATGAATTATCTGAGGGAGATCCGCCTGGGTCTGAGCACCAGCACACACTCCAGTAACAGTGTCCCATTGAAGGGTGACTCTTCTCAGCACTCCTGATGGTCAGCTCTCCCTGGAAGCCAGGAGTAGACAGTAGGGAGATGTACCCGCCATGGAAAATGTAAGGTGGAATCTTGCCTGAGGCCAGAGGCAGCAGCCGTCTGCCACATTGCCTCTGCTCCCTTTAGCCATCCCTCAGGCACAGTGTATAATGACCTTCTCCCAGTGTATAGTTTCTGAATTTGCATACCCTTTGGTTTGCCTCACCAACCCTAGAAAATGTAGCCTTGTGGTCTGGACTTGTGGACACGGGGCAGAAAGGAACAAGAGAAACCAGGGTTCTCCCACTACTTATAGCTTCCTTTGTAGACACTAAAGCAATTTATTTTGTAGAAATCGGATCTGTGTAGACACTTCCCCACCCCAAAACTCAGAATCACAGAATTAGAGAGCTAGAAGAAATTCCAGAAGCTATCTCATTTACCCCATTCACAAAAGGAATCCTATACCTGAAAAGAGGCCATGCAACCTCTGATGGTTACCCACCCCCACAAGATGGGGGGTGGACCTCTCATTTCCAAGGCAATTTGAGCTGGCATCCTGCTTGCCCCACCCTGGTTGTGGTTCTGGGATGTGAGAACAGTACATGAAAAATCTGTGAGTATCATACATAAAAAACCACTTATTTTATTTCCTGGGGATCATTAATAAGAGATAGAACCCCAACTAATAAGCTTCTAGATGGGAAGTGTGTGGGTTGGAGGTGGGGAGTTGCATCCCCCCATGCTCTACCACCTTTGGAGATCTTTGAAATGCAAATCCTTTTGGAAAGTTTATCCTGGGAGGCTGGGCGGGGAGGTGGCTATCTGCCACCAGGTACCATATGGCTATTACAAGCAGTCATGGAGCCAGCTTCTGCTGGAAAGACCATTCATTCAAGGACAATGTAGAAGGTAGCACTCTTCCTCTCTTCCCCCCTCCCCACCATACCAAACACTACTAGGGTGCTCTGAATGGTCTCTCCAGCCTCTAGTCATCCACTCCCTCCACAAAGTGAATTCTTAAGCAATGATCTGCTCAGTGGATGAACGTTGCATAAGCAGTGGTCTGGGGCAGGAGCCCCTAGGGTGAGCAAGTGGGCAAGAGCCTTTCAGCCTTGTCTTGCTCACAGCTTCTGGAGTACTACTGGTCCCCGCTGCCAAAGAATCTGACATCAAGCATCTCTCCCCCTCCTCCTCCTCCTTGCTGGGCCAATTCCCCTTCCTCCTCCTTCCAGGAAGTCACCAAGCTGAGCTGGTGACAGGATAAAATCCATGGCAACCGCTCCATGAGACTGCATCCTACAGTGAAGTCATGAGCAGCCCTGGAGGGAGGAGGTGCCCAGGTCCTCATCCCCTCCCCCCCCATCTGCCATCTACTCCAAGAACAGGGAGAGGCCGTTCACATCAGCATGTTCAGATGGGAGATTTAAAAAGAAGGGACTTCAGAGGTCACTTAACCCATCCCTTTCATCTCACAGACTGAAGCCTAGAGGGAAGAAGTCACGTGCCCAATGTCAGCCAAGGGGCCAATGGCAGAATCCTGATCCTCTGACTCCAAATCTAGTGTTCGAATTCCGCTGTCAAACTTTCCCCAACTTCTCATCCCCAGCCTTGTGAGTCACTCTGCATCATTCAGACCCCTCCACACACTTCAAAGCCAAATTACTTTTGGAATGGGCATCAGTCAGATCTTGGCAAGGCAGGGAACAATGCCTTAGCGGTAGCTTTGGCTCCCAAACCAATTTGCTTTCCATGGACCTGCAGCTATTACCTCAGAGAAGGATTTAACTCAGCCAGGCTTATCTAGCAGATGGACTCATTCTCTCTCTCTCTCTCTCTCCCTCTCTCTCTTTCTCTATCTATCTCTATCTCTCTGTCTCTCTGTCTCTCCGGCTCTTTCTCCCTCCATCCATCCATCCTTGCTCTCTCTCCATCTCTTTTTTTCCTCTCTCCCTATCTCCCTCCCCCTTCCCTCTCTCTATCTCCTTTTCCTATCCCTCTCCCTTTCCTTCCCTCTTCTTAATCTCTTTCGATTCCTGCTCCTTTTCCTTCTCTCCTTCTCTCTCCTCCATGCTCT